TCAAGTGAAGTCAAGGCAAGTCAAGTCAAGTCGAGGCAAGTCAAGTCAAGTCAAGTCAAGTCAAGTCATGATAATGATAATCATACCTATTTTATCCTATGCCATTTAAACATTGAAAATACCCCAGCAGGCATTTGTCAAGAAATTCAAAACACCGCATTGACTGGGGAGAAAAACCTCAAACTATTGCTGAATATAAGGGCTTTACTACATTCTGATTGACTGTATTTTTAATCGAGTAAAATGAAATAAATGAAAGTTTTTAGGCAAAGAGATAGACTGCCTATTACAATGTAGGTTATGAAGGATTTCTTCCCCACAGTCTCTGAACTTCAATCCTTAGTTCTCGATACTTTTCGATCTTCAAATGGTACTATTAGTTGAACTCACACACATGTGAAATTTGGAATACTTCTCATATAAAATAACTTTATAAACCTTATTCTTGTTGATACCAAGGCTAAAATGCATTCTATACTTTATACTATAAAAAGTTTTTGATGATGATTACAAATCCACTCCCAACCACCACCATCATGACATGGAAGCAGTACAGTAACAGTAGCAGAAGCAGCAACAGCAGCAGCAGCAGTAGTAGTAGTTACTAATAACAGTAGTAGTAGCAGTAGTAGAAGTAGAATTATAATTTAAAAAAATGAAAATGATCTAATTATACAAAATTGACATACTTCAACAGCTCTTTGGTATTCCATTTCCAAGGCGTATCTGGTTCTTTTATCATTACCTCGTAACCAAACCTTTTAGCCTAAATAAACAATAATAAATATTTTATATATTGTATGGGTGGTCAGTGGACATAATATTAAAGTAAAAACTTTATTACGGAATCATATCCCTTTTTATATATTAAGATTTGAATATGCCATTATTTTTATCTTTTTATACAGAAGAAAAAAACTTACGAGGATAGACAAACTTTTCTTTAGCTCTCTAATCGAACATACTATAGCTATGAGCCCCAAATCAGCACCAGGAATTTTACAATTGCTTTTTACCACAAAAATGTGGCCAAGTAATTGAAGCATCCAAACTTGTGAAAAGTGACTTCAATTTTTTAAATATAAAATTAGCTCACCATTGATACATATGGCCTCATTTCCCATGCTTGCATATTAGTGTTATCAATGATGATTGGAGACACTCCTCTCTGCATGGAATCTTTTGCTAAGCATGAAAACTAGTTAGAAAACTCAATAAAATCAATTGTACACAGTACTTGATGCTTGTACAAAAATCAAAAACAAACCTCGTTTTTGATTCCACTCATGTGCCTTGGCTAGGTCATTTTGTTCGAATTGATACCTATGGGAGATTTGGTAAAATATGGTAAATTCTTATTCAAATCCTTCCATAAGGAACTGTTTATTTTTTATGAGCATGGGATTTTGTGAATATTGTAAGTGAAAAATTACGACTCATTCTAAACCTTAATTTTTTTACATGACCCCTATTAAAACAGGATAATTTTTAAGATACATTTTCTATTTGGCTCATTAATTTTTGGGATTAACTCCCTTTATTAAATGCCATATATTTTTACGTGCCTCCCTCCCCAAAATCCCACACAGCAAATCATATTAGTAATATTTAAAGAGAATACATACCTTTCATTTGTTATGAAGAAATCATCTGTAGAGAGTATTACTCCATCACCTTTCAGTTTTCTAAAATGATCAAGACCAAAAATTAAACTACTGGAAAGTGTAGTATGGATGGGCAATTAATGACTCTTAAAACTCCAGTGTATGCGACCTTAGCCTCGAATCCAGGAGTTGCTTGTTTTGTTATACTAATTTCTGATTTTGTTTACCAACCTCAGAAGTGAGGCTTAGCCCACATACAGTAGAGTCGTCAATAGCCCAATGGCAGGTTAGAGATTGTCAATAGGAGACCTTCATCAAAAATCAGATCCAAAAAGCATGATGACTACAATACATACTGTGCTAATGTTGTCTTGCCGCTTCCTGGTAAACCTCGCAAAAGCACCAACACTTTTCCATGTGATAAGAAAAGTCCTTCACTTCTTGTTCGATGTTTTGAGAATGCTACATACAAAAACAATTTATCAATAAAAAAGACAATGAAATGCTGTCAACGCAAGGATAAGTTAAACAGGCAACTTGGATTTGGAAAAACATTGTATGACTTAAGTCACAGATGTGAAAAACAACACATCTTAAGATATTAGATCATGAGTATTAATAAGTATTAAGTAATATTATAAGATAATGCGTAGTTATCCATTAAAAATTATCCATACCCCCCTCACGGAGGAATTGCTTTAAGACACTTCCCCTACCTCCGGAAATACCAATTTTTTTCCATACAATCTCTGTAATTATGTCTTCTCTGACCCTCCTCTTTGGAAATTCCAAATTCCTCTGTGGGGTGGGTATGGATAATTTCTGGAAGTACACAATAGACCAATATGTAACTTAAGCTGCTTTTACATGGTTCCAGACAAATTTTTAACCAGTCAAAAATTTGACCTGTACATACTGTTTATGCAGAACCATCTCTGTCTTTTATATAACAATTTATAGGTTCTTTTTACATGGAACTAGATCCAAATTAGCGTGGCAAGGCATACAAATTTTTGATTTTGATAGCTCAGTCTTGTGTGAATGGAACCCCTAAATGTAAAACTTTTTGACTGGTTAAAAATTTGTCTGGTGCGGTGTAAGTGCAGCCTTAGGCATATCAAAAATCAAATATCTAGGAGTAAATTTGATGTTTTGCAAAAAAGTTTAAGAAGTAAATTTAACTATGAGAATCGGTTTAACTGTGTGAATACTGAAACCTGGGCCACTTAGACAGAGAACACTAATAAAAATGTGAAATGAAAACAGTGCATTCCAAATTTGGGTAGTGGAGCCAACCAGAAACTAAGTGGCCCAGCTTTCAGTACTGTAGTCGTACCATACTGATAATGAATTTAGAAATGACAGGGAAAAATTAACATCATTTGGTTGTTTTCAATTTCAAAATAAATTAAAAGAAGTTAAATGAAGCTTGAGCATTTTGGTTGCCCAGCTACCTGAATGTATTATAGATTTTGTTTGTCAAAGAAAAAGAATTTCTCTTTATGATTTCAATGTATACATATATTACATGATGGAGCAAAGGTATGAAGTTTATCTTCGAGTGGTGAAATATTTTTCAACACAAGAAGATAAACTTCATATTTTCAAGCCAACGAGTAATTTTTTTTTATCATATAGACAAATTCCACAAAGAAAAACTATGCAAGTTAATCAAAACAGGTCCTGGAAAACATCGCAAGTGACATCATCAATATCCTCACTAGTGAAGATAGGAAAATATGTTACTCAGGTCCCCGATGTAGTTAAATGTATGACAAATACGAGTGGCGTATTTCCCAGTAAAACACTCATGTCTATAAAATAAATCTGGATATTGACATAGAAATTGTCTAGAAATATATTTCTGCCACGTCCCACCGGTAAAATACGAACTTCTTTGCAAATATTATTGTATCACTGAATATAATATTACTTTGTTATGATCTTACTGTGTCTTTCTTCTCTCCAAAAACAACCCTTAGGTTTTCTCATTCCAAAATTGGGTTGAAATTCATTTCTTTTTATATAATCTCTATTTTTAGGTGTACCTTGTCCAGGATAAAAGCCACCTGACTGACATCTAATACTTGGAGCATGAAGATCACTCCTAGGATGGTATGTCCTTGCATTTTGTGGTACATAATGAAAATATCCAGTATCCCCAGTAAATCTTTGACCTTGAAAATTATGGGGAATGGGGAATCTTTGATAAGCATTACAGGGTTGACCAGAAAATGATTTCATAGGATTGTAATCTGGCCATGGTGGAAGTTCATTTGATAATGGTTGGTCAGTTACTTCAATTCCACTTTGTACACTGTGCAAGGCTAATGTTGAATTAGTACTATGATAAGATGAATCTTTTGGTTCTACAGCTTCTTTTGTTGAATTGCCATTTTGTTCAGATGAATCTGCAACTGATATTTGTGTTTCTGTGGCATCAATGATAAAGGAATTACTTTTGTCATCTCTGAAAGAAGAAGCTTTGTGTGTTGTTTTTTTCCCTTTGGAGGTTTTCCTATCAGTAGTTCTCCAATCATTGCATGGGGAAAAGTCTTCTTTGCTGGCAGCAGAGTTTTGTCTTGATGATTTGTTTTCAGAATCAGGGCTCCAGTTGTCTGATGATGAAACTGGTTTCGTTATAGATAGTAACTTCTCAAGTGCATCATTGACTACAAAAATAAAAAATAAAATGATAAATAAAATAAAATAATAATAATAAAAAGATAATAAAAGAATACAACATACAACATTATGCATACAGTTTATTCAATACAGAAACAAGAAGTTACATTGATATTACAGGTTTTCACTTATTCCAGCCTAAGCTGAATTGGACTGCCCTGTCATAATTTTGCTAATAGATAAATAAATATTAAAAATAAAAGCAGGCACAAGCAAGAAAAATATTAAATAAATTTACAATGGTACAAATGGACTATACTTAAATCTATAACTTTTGTGCAAGACACATGAAATGGGCTGAAATAGGTGAAACTACACATTCCTCTGTGCAGGGCATCACTAGAGGTGGTTTGATGGTTCGAACGAACCCCTCTCTCAACTTTCTTTAGGAGTACGAAATAATGTTTAGCTCTATTTTAGTTTTTCAATAGAAATGGCATAACTAAGATTGGTAGAAAAAAACCCTCATCTTTCAAGGTCCTAGCAATGAGCCTGCTGTGGGAGTTGGGGGTATGGATATTTTCTGGAACTACACAATATAATTTAGAAACTTTCCTGTGTGACTACTGAATGTTGATATTAATTAAAATTTTTGTGGTGCAACCACATGACTCAAAATTCCTTGAGATAAACAATGAAACAGCAGCCATCTTGGTTGATCTTATAGCTAATGAGGAAAAAAAATTATGCTTGGTATAGTCAAGCAACACGGTGGCTATGATGTAACATGCACCCCAAGAATTGGCAGCCCAATGATTAAGGAATCAATGAAAATTCTGTTTTTTGAATTCAGCCAGTTTAGTTTTTTTTATTGCTCCAAAACCTCTTACCCCATACAAAATTAAGTTGTCGTAGAAAAATGTATGTTCGCAACCTTGATCAGTAATAAACGTATTCTAGCTTAGCGATCAAGATAAACTAAGTTCACAGCCAGGATCCGAGCTAGGACTTGAGCCAGGACTCAAATTAGGACTCTAAATTTTTACTAGAGTGCATGTAAACACTATATCCGTGAAACAGTACTATAAAATTAGCACTAAATAGTACTAAATAGCACTAATGAAACAAAAGAAAACAATAGAAATTCAATTATTTAGTACTATTTAGAGCAGAATATATTTTTACGGATTAAGTGTTTGTATTCTATGATTCAATCAACCCTATAATAATCAATTCAATTTTACCAGAGCATACAGAGCCTCCCCTCGCCAAAACCGCTGCAAATGTAAGTACATTCTGAACCATGTAAACAAATTGAATGCTAGTCTCACTTCGTGTCAAGCTCCAACCCCCTCTCCCCCAAAAAAAGTTCACAAATTTAGACATTTGAAATAATACAAGAAAAAGTTTGATATGATGTTTTATAAACCAGACAAAACATCTATTAAAATAACATTTGTTCAATAGGTGGGCATACTGTTTAAATTTCCAAAAATCAACTTTTGAGACATAAACGATTGGACTTAAGAAATATAAAGAAGTCTTCAAAACTCATGAATAGTTCATGAGCATTTGAACCATTTGGAGCGACCATACATGTCCCGTGCATGGACCTTTAAACCCCATAAAGTCTCATCCTCATTAGTATTCTTTATATAAAGAATACTAATATGGACAACTTTATAAGAATAAAGGTGCATCCAAGTTTAGATGAAGACTTAGAGCCTCATCAAGGTCAGTCTCACGTACGATCATCGACGACCTACAAATTATCTTCGTCTAGTGCCTCAGTCTTGAGTTCGGCATGTTGTCTTTAACTTGTGGGAGCCTTTTTTGCAATTACTGTGCATGGCAGTGATGTACAAACCTCACTGCGCATGACATTGCTGTACCAACGACTATCAAAGTATAAAAGTTCATGTTCGCGAGGCATATGGTCGCTCTACTTAAACCAAAGGTTTGTGAATTATACTTAAAGTTTTTGAATCCGTTTAATAAACTTGCAGATCATGTTTTATCGGATCTAAAACCATGAAGCAAAGCCTCGTGGTTTTAAACCCGATAAAACACTCCTACTTGTTTATTAAACAGTACATAACTGTTGATAATATTTATCAATTTGAGAGCAGTTGCTTCATTAGTTCAGGACCAAATGTAGGTTGGTTGGCAACATCTTGCCAACCAACATACATTTACTGTAAAATTTCACATTAACTTAAAAACTATAAAGAGATTTGTCCTCAAATTCTCAGATATCTTCTAAAGCGATAGGATCTTGCCACTTTTGAYGTTTGTTTGTTTATTGCTTGAATTTCCAATAATTTCATGTTCTTGATCAAAACAAATTACGTCATTGTACGCCCATCTATTGTTTAACATGATTTTATCAATAATGTCATTATTTTTGATTATTAGAGTGCTTTTAGTCTGACTTTTGAATAACTAAATAAATTTAGTAAATTTAGTTAGTTATTTAATTGACGTCACCTAAATTAGTGAAAGCCCGCCAGCCAACGGTCGAGCAAATCAGGGGGGAAGCATAGAGCAGCGCTAAGTGAAGTGAATCGATCTTTTGACAAAGAACARACTATAATCTGTATATCTAACAACTTATATAAAACTTTCAGTTTTGTTCTGTTAGGATTTAACTCGTAGCAAACTAGTTCAACGCAGTTGAAGCCTTTTAAGTATGTTGTAAAGTTCGAAGCAATACTAAAAAAGCGAAAGAACGAACACCGTCGACAAAACAAATACACGATCGCCGTAGTTATTGTTGAGTTCAGAACAACACGCCAGGCATTCTCTGTCCTGCATTTCCATTAACTGTAGAGCTAATAAAATAAAGCACTTTAAAAGGCTGCGGATCTTCAATAATATAATATAATCGCATATTTTCAGAGAAAAATCGGTTACTACTTCATGTAAGACCTCATGAAGTGGCACTAATAACTCTTGTTTTATGGTGTGTGTGCTGGTGTGTGTGTCCTTGTGGCTCCGTTGGCGTTTTCAT